TTGGATCGATTATGAAAGATTAAATGAAAATTAACTCGAAGAGTAATAACCAAACTAGAAGGAATTTATATACAGGAGATCCTCGACTTACGTCGGAGATCCGTTCCTACGGCGCGACGTAACCTGTTTTTTAGACGTAACCTGACTTTCGACTCACCGACAAAAACACCCATGAGTCTGGCATACGCTTGGAAGCATAATGACAAAAGATTACCCCCCACACACTAAATGGCACAAACGAGAGTTAGCGAATGTAGCACAATATAATATGGCGTAAAACTGCTGAAGAAACAACACCGGCCTCCTCATATAGCACCTAATGTCGACATATTATATCATGGGAGAAGGCGCTGTAACCATGAAACGCTGTACGTCGGATCCGACGTAACACGAGGAGCTTCTGTATTGGGAAATATCTTTTTTATGATTTGGATTTCTTTTATTTTGTTACTCTTATTACTATCTATCTATCTATCTATCTATCTATCTATCTATCTCTCTGTCACACGCACGAACACACACATAATTTTGATTTTAAAAATGCTACACTCATAAAAAAAGAAAATAACTCACTCAGAAGGAAAATTCTAGAGAGTGCCGCCATAGAAAATTACCCAAATATTAATCCACGCCCAGGTTTTTTCCCCATTTCACCTTTCTTAACAAAATTACCGCTCTTACAAACAAATATACACAAGAGATTCATAAAATCAAAAGAAAATGGTTGAATACATCAACACAGATATAATGACAATATTCTCCCCACGTGACATATACTGACGTTATTTTCAGTTAAAAATATGAAAATAGCGTTTCTCTACATTCCAGTTGCTAGGAACATTCTGCTTTTTTTTTTATTAGTTACCTTGTTCAATTAATTTCATTTTCGTATTTTGCTTCGATAAAGTCCACATTGGACGAAACGCGTCAGCAATTACTAGTTTTCCTATTGTCATTTTTATTCATAAATAGAAATATATATATATATATACTTTGGAAAAAATAATATTCACCTAAAAACGGTCAAATGAAAAGAGTGCTCAATACTGTTCTCATAGAAAAAGATTAGACCAAATTATTATATATCACTTTCTTTCTTTCATCCCACTACCGGGGCAACTATGATTAGGAGTAGACGAACCATTGAATTGTTGATAGAAAAAGCCTTGATGTGCAGTATGAAGGACATAATTATGTTAAAACGTTTTTTGAAGCAACAGCATCAGCAACAACATCTAACACTACAAATATTGGAACATCAATCAATGATGTTTGAAGGCTTGTAGAAAAACTCAAATGAAACGTACTACAGTTTCACTTACAGCTGATACGGTCGCAGACCCCCTTGACGAATTCGTTTATAACCCTGAAAGTGTTAAATTTCTGACGTACGACAGCAGCTACGAATAAATCTTCAAAAATAATTGCCAAAGTTTGCAAGAGCAACAAATGTCCATGAAAAAATATTGCAATTTTATTTTATCTGAAAAGCCAGGATATATTACATTGTACTTTTATTTTATTTTATTTTTAATTTCATTTTTGTGTGTAGAGTAAAAAATATACGCCATGTTTATGGACAATTATTATTTTAATTTTGCGAATACATCCATTTAAAGTTAACCTGTAATAATGTTAAGGAAAAGGCTAAACGATAACATGTGGTAGTAGGGTTGAGTTTAAGTTTCCCCGCCAAAAGAAAGAAAAAAAAGGACAAATAAAAATAAAAACGGCAAATAATTAAACTATACAATCCTTAAGGAAAAGCGTTAAACTTAGGAAGATTAAGATTACCTCCTCGGTTATCCATCGAAACTGCAATCCACCGAAATAAGAAAAGAAGCCAGTCCCCACCGTGGGCCATTTAAAGATAGTTCACTCAGCGGATTGGTTGTTACTCACATCCAATCGGATGTGCGGAATATGTGGTCTTTCTTCCTCTTATTCTTTAAAAAGGCCAGAGTAGCTGTTAGCGTTTAATCAGAAGGGGGAATCAGGCGTTGATCTCCCCTGATTGGGTCGATTTGGTGATGAGGAGTATAATGTTGAAAGACTCGAAACTCCCTGATGAACCAAGTCAAAACTTCACTGACGATCCCCTCGGGCGCCTACTTAAAACCTATTTTTAATTATTTGAGGAAACGTAATTTTGTTTAAAATTTTCAGTGAAATTATTTCCTTATTTCATACACGTTGACAATGATTAAATATCACGAAAAAAGATGATTTTGTTACTCATGTTGGTATAGTCAATTGCAAATGCGAAAAACGTAAATGGAATGAATTGATATGTATATTTTTTGCGAAAGATTTAACGAGTAAAACGCAGATATTCATTCGCTTCTTTTAACAAAACTTGAGCAGCGTCCAAAATTAGTCTTACAGACAGAAGTAGAAGAATGTCAAAAACACTACATTTAAAACCCTGATACTGCAAAAATGAAAGAAAAAAATGACTACACCGAATACGTGTTATGGGCGAGGAACATTTCATTTCGAGGCAAATTGCCCATTTAAAAATTGTTATTTTCAATGTTTAAAACTGGGACATAGACAAAGTCATCGCAAATGAAGGTAAAAACAAAATGTAAGTTTTTCTAATACAGTAAGATTTATATTAACCACTCAAAATGTGAATGAGCCCCAGAACATAAAATGAAGTTTAAAATAAATAACGTTGAATTAAAGCTTCAATTGTAAACAGTAAGCAACATTCCGATAATCAATGAAAAAAAAAATATTGGTCAACCTACATTAACGAAAACCAATGTTGTGCGTGGCCTCTTGGGGAAAAATCTTTTTTGTCGAAATTTCCAGTAATGTCTCGTGTGGCGGTAAAACTTTAAAAACTTGTCAATTACCTCTCTAAAACATATATATATTGACTGAATTTTCAACAGGTGTTTTAAAACAGTTCCTGGGTTGTTCTATGAAGGTCTTGGAAAATGTACGAAGTTTTCAGTTAAAAGGAAAATATAGTTGCTGTATTTAAACGTAAAAATGGTGTGGAATCCATTAACAAAGAACTTACATAGGCCTTAGGAGTTACCCCGCCCACAGATTATTCTGAATTGGCAGTTCCTGCAGTCTATATAAAAGAAAAATAACATTCGTTTATCGCAGATTTTTCTACAGGGTCAAATGAGTGCCTATTACCTCACAAACATTCATTAACCCCCCCCCACACACACACACACACCAAAATAATATCTAAATTAAACGAGAAGATTATTCAAAAATTGATCTGTTCGATGCATACCTACGAATTGATGTTGTTGGAAAATGTAAAAAAGATAACAATTAAAACACGGACTTATGTAATTTTAATAGGATACCGTGCGAGGTCAAAGTGACACCTAGCATTTTCCAGCAAATAATGGATACGATGATAGATGGCTAAGATTTTGCCGTGGCTTATTTTTACGACGTACCCATGAACAGTGAAAATAGGCGGAAAAATTCCAAACACGTCCAAAAAGTATTACAGAGAATTGTGGAATACGGGTTCCAACTCGAGGAGAAATGTCAATTTTCCAGGAATAGGTTACTTGGAACAAATAACTAATGCAAAGACTAGTGCTATTAAAAATATTTCTACTCCGCGAAATTTGTTATTTTATATGTATTTCTAGGGCTCGCATGCTATTACAATCATTGTGCTAAACCGGCATAAACTGAGTGCGTCTTTAAATAGATTATGGAAAAAAAGTTGCGTCGTGGAATTGGTCCGATAAATGCCGAATATATTTTGAAGAGATAAAGAACATGTTATCATCTAAATTATCTTCAACGCATTTCAATCCTGATTTAGAAATAATTGTAGCATCAGATGATAGTGATCATGTGATTGGGGAAGTTATTTGTCATTTATTCAAAGATGGTTGCATAAGAGCAGCTGCATATGAATCTAAAAGGCTAATAGCAGGGGGGAAACTTATTGTCAAATCGAAAAATCACTAGCTATTGATTTTTGCAGTGAAAAACTTCATCATTAGACACGGCAGGAAATTTATTCTTCAAACCGATCACCGTCTATTAACTAATTTTCATTAAAAAAAATGTGGATTCCAACACATAGTGGCAACATTGGAGCAATTTTACTGAATTATTATTTCAAGATGGATTATTTAACATCAAAGAAATTGGGACATGAGGATGGATCGCCCAGGTTAATCCCTAAATTTAAAGAACCGCTTGAGGAGACTGTGATCGCTTCTCTAATTTCAGAAACATATTTTTCATTTTTTGTGTATCTCAATAAGGGAAATGCCCTTGGGCAAAATTAAAATACAATCCAAGATAGATGACAACATTTTGAAAATGATGATGTAAAAGTGAGAAAGAAAAAATAAATCAAGTCTTACTTTTTTTTCTCCATCTCTGACGAAGTACTGATCTAAGCGGAAAGAGTTGTAACTGCTGGTACTTCTCCCAAAATAATTTTAAAGCAGTGTCATGTTGGCCATTTGGGATATCAAAAATGAAATCCCTTATGCAGGACTGGATTACCCATTAAGCAAAATAAGCACATGCTTAGGGCGTCAAGGAAAGGAGGCACTAGAGAAATTGCAATGATATTATTGTGAGGATCGCCCCTTGTACATAAGATGGACTCGTCCAAAGTATACTTATACTACGGAGAGATAGCGTGAGAAAAACGTCTAGACAGGATGTTCACCCAGAGTTATACGAGAGTCCAGAAAGAGAGATAATTACGACTTCACTTACAGAGACTTGTACATATACTTTTCTACTAACCCGCATTCCTGGACTGTTAATTTTCATTTCAAGTTTGTATTCTTACATTTAATACACATATTTTTTCGATTTCAATTACTGGCGTTGTTTATTTATTTGTGCAGGATTCCGTCCCCGCAATCCGCAACAAATATGTTGCTGTTGTATACATCTAGTGAAATAAGTCGAAAACAATTAACATTTGAATCAGCACGGCGCCATTATGAAGATGGGACAACTGACCTGCAGCAAAGCTTTATTGA